GGAGTACCCAGTGAGGAACAGGAATTGCTGGGCGCGAGAGACGGGGCAGTGGCAAGCGGAGGAGGCAGCCACATGAATCCATGCACCAGTTTCCGCTGATCGGTCTTAGAGTAGGGAATGAACAACCACATATAGTCCCGGTCAAACTCAATCTGGTGCCACTGGAGGGATATCAGATCAGAGAAGCGCAGAAAGGCTGCAAACATGAGGAGAGGGATCAGCCCCTTCTGAAAAGTCGCAGGATCGGACGATGCGCAGTAGACGTCGCAGATATGGTAGACTTTTTCGGGTGGTATCGGCTCCTTAGCCCAAGCGGGTCTGCCGCAGTGGCATTGCACGTACTCCTTCACTTGAGAAGATAACGGACCGCGAATAGGAGAAGGAAGGCTGACCAGCCAATGGGCATATGCGATGGCGGAACATGCGGATCGCACTGCTGAAACAGTGGCGCCACCGTGGATCGAGTGCAACAGGAACAGTGCTGCCGTAAGGTCGCTGGCAGGAAGAAAATGAAGCGAGTGCTCAGTACAAAAGACCCGATACTGTCGCCAGTAGGGCTCGTATGTACGAAGAGTAGACTATGCACGAAGATTGACTGTGAGCGTCAAGATATCCAAAAGTAAGAGGCCGAGGTAGGAATCTGCGCAGAGGCAAGGTGCTATGTATTAACGAATAGTAAGCGAAGCGCGTACATCAATGAGTTTGGGAGACCTGCACCGCTTAAGGCATGATGGTCGCTACCAATGCGCAAAAAAATAGAGCCAGGAGCAAGGCGAATGGTTGCGACCACAGCAAAGGCCCAAGAGGAGCCGTCCGGGCATAACACTGGCCACCAGGCGCTAGGCCAATGCGAGATTACAAGGGTGAGCGAGGTGCGTAAGCGGTGGGCGTGGGCGAGGACAGCGGGGATCAGGGGTGGGGGAGGAAAGGCGTAGCGGTTGTTGCCCGACCAGCTAAGAGAAAATGCATCCTACGCGACTACCGCGTGAGAGAGCTTGAGCGAGCAAAAACGAGCCAGGTGCGCATTCGCCGTGGAAGCGAACAAATCAATAGTATGAGGACCCCAACGCCTCTCTAGCACAAGGAACCAAGGTCATGCGAGAGAGTAATCGTCGAGAAGATCCAACTTGGACAGCGCATCGGCTTCTGTATTAAGGGTGCGTGGGATCCACTGGACTGTGAGCCGAATTTGGTGGCGCACGCAAAGGTGGATAATAGCCCGGCATGAAAGAGTCAACTCAAGCCGGCGGGAACCCCCTTTCTTCATAATGTAATAGGCCGCTTGGATGTCGTTGCGGAGCAGGACGTGCGAGCGTCGGACCTCGTCAAGAAAGGTTGACAGTGCTCAAAGGATGCCAGCAAGTTCGCGGAGCATGCTGGACGAAGAGACGAGGGCCCGGGGGAGTGGTGAAGCATGCGAACCGGCGTGGCCGTCCAGCGCTGAAAAACACGCGCCCCATGCGCGATCACTGGCATCCACATACATTACGATGTCGTAGAGATGAGGATTGTGGAAGCGGGAGCCGTTGAAGACATCGAACTGGGTGAGCCAGAAACGCAACTCGTCGAGAGAGTCGGGTGTCAAGAGAATTGACGCCCCCCAAGAGTGACACTCAGAGATCTGAGAGAGAAGATTGTGGGAGAAGGCACGAGCGATTGTTCCAAGCGCAAGCACCATGGAGGCTAGCAAGCTAGTAATGCGAGCAGCCCGACGGACTGGGATAGGCCGCCCTTGCGCGCTAAGTGCACGTCTCCTCAAGTTCGGCGAAGAGTCGCTCGAGTCTACCGGCATCGACGGAAAAAGACGTGGTGCGAGTGTCCAGCAGTAGACCCAAAAACTTTAGGCACTGGGTTGGTTTGAGCTGCGACTTCTTGAAGTTGACAGCGAAGCCAACTAATTGAAGATCCGCTAAAATGATGGCACGGTGGCAAATGACTTCGGCTCGAGTAGCGTTGATGAACAAAATGTCATCGACGTATGGGATAAGTCGGATGCCGCATCCGCGCCAACGTTTTGCGAACTGCTTGATCAGCTGAGTAAAAACGAACGGCGCAGTAGCTAGACCAAAACGCAATGATAGAAACTGGTAGTGCTGCCCTTGGAGTGTAAAACCGAGGAAACACCAATACGAGGGATGGATATCCACATGGTGGTAGCCCGATTTTAGATCGATGGTGAATAGCCAAATGTCCTACTGCACCAAGTCAGGCACCCGATTCAAGCCCTGATAGCGAAAACGGGGGACGGAAAGAAATGAATTCACATAGCGGAGGTCTAATATGAGCCTCTTTTTGGAAGGTTGGACGATTACGTTCAGCGGGCTGATGCATGTGAGTGGCTCCGACGGAGAAACGAGCCGAGCCGCTCCCGTAGCTAGAAGCTCGTCCACCGCCTCCACCGCGAATGTGTGGAATTGGAGTGCCCCTGCATGGTTTGAGGCATGCCGCACTGTAGGCACTAAAGAAGCCCAGGGAAGGCGATAGCCTGACGCGAGGACCAATAGCATGAAGCGGCTATCGCACCAACTGGACCACCATGCAAAGCAGGCACGCAGGCGTCCTCGCATACGGATTGTATCAGCCAATGCGACAACATGTACGGCAAAGGAGCCAAACTCTGGTGTGGGGCGGTGACGAACAAGTACAATAAAGACCGCAAGGGCCAGATGTAAGTTATCATTCTCGAAAGTACAAATACGTTTGCCGAAGAATTTGTATCATGAGAAGTGTGCTCGAAATAGTCGAAGCGTAAGCAATAATGAAGGCAACACTTTTCGCAGTGTTCGCACCAACGATGTTACAATCTTTTGTCATGCTTTTATCGGTGTGACAGTGCGTGTTCCAATGTTCTACGTGCGTTTTGTACCTTCTTGACTGCCTCTCTTTTTCGGCACTTCTGCCATTCTCTTGCTTCCTCCTCCCCCCCCCCTAAAAAAAAAAAAAAAAAAAAAAAAAAAAAAAAACATACACACGCAAATGTTGAATAGCGTATTGCCATATTATATTCGAAGCGGATTTGAGCCGCGTGCTCGATCACCAATTGGCACAACATCAATCTTCAACATTAAATAATAGATTTATAGCATTAAGGTTTTACAAAGAAGCGGCCATCAAAGCCTCTAGACAGTCTTAGCCGGCCGATTGGCCCCTTGGCCTCGTCGAGGACAATCTTTAAACCCATGACCGGGTTCGCGACAGTAAAAGCATCGATCGTCGCCATCCCGATGCCACGTATTCCAAGTACGTGCATCTTCACCCCTACTACGAGGGGAGGGATCGGTGCGGGATGTCAAGGTGGTGGGTCTAGTGGGCCTCTTTTTGCTGGCCGCCACAATTTGTGTAGCGGCCTTGACATTTTTAACTTCCACCACCTCCCCATGCTTAATCTTTACGGCCATATTGGCCACTTCAAAACGGCGTTGATCTGCGGCGAATAAGAAATGACTCTTTTCCTCCGCCTCCTCGACTATCTACTGGAGATAGTCGGTGGCTAACTCGCCACCACTACGGGGCAAAGCGGAGAGCGCGTGCCGAGCAATAGCTTGGATATGCTCGAAGCTAAAAAGTTGGGTTCGAATGCCGTCACTTTTCACCAAAGAAGAACGCAACTGAGGACGTGCAGGAGGGACGGTAGAACCAGACTTGAGACGGGCGGCGTTACCTTCGTCGAGGGTTTCCATGGGCGTGTCGTCGTCCGCGCCATCGCCCTTGGGTTCGGCTGCGACGGGAGGAGGTCGAGCAGGTGCAGGGGGGGTGCTGGATCACCGGTTTGTCCGCGCTGAAGGGCCGCGAGAAGACCGATTACGTGATGAATTGCGTCATTATTAGCGTTGTCGTTGTTGATGTAACGAGCAAGAATTTGTTCTGCAGATCGGGGCGCTGTAGAAGCAGAGGAGCGCGTTCTAACGGTTTCACCAATTGCAGCACCCGTGAAGATTCGATGGAAATTTCGCTGCTTGGCGGGGTCCAGACGCGCCATCATTTCGGCGAAATTTGCAACTCCATTGGCGATGATGACAGGATTCTGCTGTGCGCGCTTATTCGTCGGGCGAGATTCCAAGTCGGCGTGGGCGTCCGGATTCTGGCGATCGCCACGATCCTGGCGCTCCTGGTCATTTGCGAGCTGGTCAAGATTCTAACATTTCGTTCCTGGCGCGTCTGGTCCCGCCCAGGATTCTGCTCATCATTTCGACCTGCGCGCCTTGGATCGCGATGATCATTGCGATCCTCGTGCGCAGGACCGTCATGATTGCGGCCGAGGGGTGCCGCGCGCAACTGTTCCACAGGTGGCGGGGCGTTTTCTCTTGCCGGGTTCAAGTCGACACGTTCTCGTTCGTCACGCCGCTCGCCGTGAAACCCGGGGAGAAAATCGCGACCATTAGAAGCGTTACGATCTCCGACGGGAGCCAATCCGGGTTGCTGAACGGGGTTTTGCCGAGCGCCATTCAGCAAATCCAATGCAGTAACAGAAGCGTTTTTGTTGCGTGGAGAGGGGGAACGATAACGCTGAGAGGAAGTAGCTTGACTTCCCTTACGCACAGGGTAGCCACGTCGTCCGTTGCTCCTGAGATTCATTCTTGAAACAGGAGGACGACCACTTGCAGCAGAAACCATTCCTCCAGTCATGGTAGAAAAACGTGCGGCAATCACGCCCGCAAGTAGCGTGCTCCTAAGCCCAGGTCTGGGCATAGGAGGGGTTTAGAGTGTGCTGGTGGTGAGCTATCAGAGAAGAGAAATGAGAATGAGACTAGGTGGCAGGTCCATTGGACCTGCGAGAATGTGAATTGTCTCCTTTACAGCAAAACTCCTCTTCAAATCGAATCACAATCTGTAAATTTTTTGTTCCTAAAAATTTATTCATCTTTCCTAAATGGGGTGGGCGTTTTTGCGTTTCCTCCAAATTCAGGTGGAGTGATTTGATATCGGTCTGCGCCAATAGCGCATTTGTCTTCACCAACCTCTCCCCAACCCCCCTGGCTCGTAAGTGACACATTTTCCTCTAATTTTACAGTCTTAGAGCCCGTGGCGTTCCAGGGTAATACTGTCTCCCCTGGACTTTCTGAAAGGTGAACACCGACGAATGTCAGGCCTCGTCCTCCCTCCACTTCTCCAGATACGAGAGTTAGTTGAATGGTTAACATCACATTGACGGCGTTTGCAAGACATTGCTCCCTTATTGCACCTTGTTCTGTCCTACGTTCTATACCGATTGCATTTCAGCGATGGCTCATCTCATCCGCCGGTTAAGGCCACAGACTCGCCTGTTTCTTGGCCTTCAGCGGTCATTCAGCTCGACAGCTGCCGAAACGGGTGAGGAACCGTACAATGCTTGTTTCCGTCACTAACGCGTTTGATCAGCTGAACATAGTTTTGACGATGAATGCGCATGCAGGGGATCCAAACTTTCTGGAGTCCGTCGATATTTATTTCGACAAGGCTGCTGCTATCTGCCATGTGCCAGGCGACATCCTGGGACAGATTAAGGTATCCAGTGCAAAGCAAGGAGCTTGTCCCTGGAATGTGTTACAACGTTTCCTGTATTCTGACTGACCACATTTTTGCGAACGAATCTGTACCCTTTCGAACTTCAACAGGGTTGCAACAATGTTCTCAAGGTTCAGTTCCCACTGAAAATGTCCAATGGCACAGTGGAGCTGATCGAAGGTTACCGTGCACAGCACTCCCATCACAGGCTTCCAGGTTAGCCTTCAAATGTGTCGTTACGGCTTGGAAGGATAAGATGTCCAATGGATAACCGTTTGCTCGCCTTATGCGTGTTGTCCAGGCAAGGGAGGAGTTCGCATGGCCCCCACTGTGGATGCAGATGAAACCGTGGCTCTTGCTGCACTTATGACATTCAAGTGCGCAGTTGTTGATGTTCCGTTTGGTGGAGCAAAGGGAGGAATCAAGATAGGTAAGCCTTCGGAACAGCATCTGAATCCTTCTAGGTGCACGGGAAACTGTAAGGAGGACTAATTCAATTTTGTCTCTTTTTCCCAACTCTGACCACATCCTGATGACATGAAGATCCCAAGAAGTACTCGTCTTTTGAGAAGGAAGCTATCATTCGACGATACACCACGGAGCTTGTGAAGAAGAACTTCATTGGTCCTGCTATTGTAAGCCAACCCACTTGCAAGCGATTGAGCTCTAAGTAATGGTTCTCGCCTATGGAGCCTAACCTGTACTAAACTTGTAATCCAGGACGTTCCGGCGCCCGACTATGGCACAGGGCCACAAGAAATGGCATGGATCAAGGTGAGTAATTGATGGGTTTGCTTATACGATATAATCTGTTTCTGACCACTTGTGTGGCTGAATTTCAGGACACCTATGAGACCCTGAGGCCAGATGATCTCAACTCGTTTGCTTGTGTCACTGGAAAGCCCATCGAAGAGGTTTGTCTACAGAATTTATCCCACACCTTAGGAAAAAATATTAGGAAGCATGTCTCAGATTCTTATTGATGTGAATGCAGGGAGGCATCCGTGGCCGTACTCAGGCTACTGGAATGGGCGTATTCATTTGCCTGCGGGAGTTTCTCAACAGCAAGGTGCAGAATGTCCTATCTTCTAGTGGGTTCATGCTGTATTTTTAGTAAACAATTCTACTATTGTGGTTTTGTATTTTCTTTACAGAACTGGATGACGAAGTTGAACATGTCACCGGGTGTCGAAGGGAAGTCGTTTATTGTTCAAGGTTTTGGAAACGTCGGACGTCATACCATCGATGTATGTCTGATGTCTGTCTCTACCTTTTTTCTTCCCTCGTCTCTTTTGAGCCAATAAAGATCTTCAGAGGTAACCCCCTTTTTTTTTCACAGGCAATTGTCACTGCGAAGGGGAAGATCACAGCTATTGCTGAGTATGACGGAGGCTTGTTGGATGAGACCGGGAACGGCCTTGACATTGAAAGCATCAAGCAGTATCATGCACGGAACGGAACCATCACCGGTTTCCCAGGAGCCAAAACAGTAAGCATCCATCCAGGTTCTCGTCACAATTCTCTCTTGGCCCAGTAATCATCTGTCCAGGGTCGCTTTTTCTGATTACCATGAATTGGTCTTTGCAGGTTTCGGACCCGTTTTCCTTGCTTGAGCTCCCTTGTGATGTCCTCATACCGGCTGCTCTGGAAGGCCAGATTCACTCAGGAAATGCCAGCCGCATCAAGGTGGGAAGCTATGCTGCATCTGCAACTTAGGCTGGACCTGTTGAGTTGGCTCACTTCATGTTTCCATTTGCAAGTACAGGCGAAGGTTGTCGCAGAAGCTGCAAATGGCCCAGTCACTCCTCCAGCAGAGAAGATGATGGAAAGCAACGGAATTGTTGTCCTGCCAGACCTTCTGCTGAATGCGGTAACTATCACGTCCTCATTTAGCCACATCTCTCTGCCCTTTCCTTGTCTTCTTTTGCCCTGTTTTAGACATTGCGTTTGAGAGATTCATGGGGAATTCTTGATATGACTGCAGGGTGGTGTGACAGTCTCCTACTTTGAGTGGCTAAAGAACATCAACCACATTCGGTTCGGAAGGATGAGCCGACGAATGGAAGAGAGGGGCAAACAGGTGAAGTCCACCGACTCTTACCAAGCTTTTATGTTAAACCTGTGATTGCCTGTTGTCAGGCACCTGGATTTTCATTGTACTGAGGCCTGCTCTGTTCTCCATTTCAGGCATTACTTGATGCTTTGGAAAAGGAAATTGCAACCGGTATTAAGTTCACTGATGACACACGCCGTTCGATCATTAAAGGGTATGTTTTTCCTCTAAGCCTCGCTCCTGTGGTCCTTTCCATTTAGTTCCCGAAATTTTCCTCTGCTTGTTTCCCATTTAGGTATACCACAATTTGAGGTTTGTATAATCTTCACCTCACCACTTCTGCAGCAACACTGAGGAGGATTTCGTGTGGTCTGGCCTTGAGGAGACAATGATCAATGCCTGGGACGAAGTCAAGCGAGTAGCTGAAGAAAGGGTGAGTTTTTTACCAATTAGTCCTTTTATGTCTCATTCAGCATGCAACTCATTGTGACTCTTAGCATTTTCAGGAATGCAACTTCCGCACAGCATCCTATGTGATTGCGATTGAGAAGATCGCCACGTGTTACCGCGTCAGTGGAATCTTCCCATGACCTGCTTGACCAATGACCAGCCTTCTATCATGGGAACTAGCATCATCCTTCTGATCTGAGACAATACGACCAACCAGCACTATTATTATGGATATAGTATTGTTTATCCAGTGTAGTGCATCAGGAAGCCATTATGCTCAAGATGCTGCAGCTTTTGGCAACCACAAGAACAACATTAAAAAACATTCATATACAGCAAAAACATGAACCTAAAATGTAAAAGTGCTAATGACAGCTAAGTTTGCGGGTCTGATTCAAAGTAAGCCTAAAGCCAGTGACGGCTCTCGCATCAGACCTCCTGGCAAGGGAGAAAGTTCCGAGGCGACTGAAGGCTCGGAGGAAACAGAAGCTTGAGAGGAGAGAGAGGGCTCACTATCGAGGGTTCTCCCAGAAAAGAAGCTGGATGATGAATGCGGTGAGAGGAGACGGGGAGGAGGGAGTGTGGGAGATTGTGGAGCACCTGCTGTATCCCGAATCCATTCATGTGCTGCAGCATGGGGGGGGGGGGAAGGGGGAGGGGGGGGGGGGGTGTTGGGGGGGGGGTTGGGGAAGGGGGGGGGGGGGGTTGGGGGAGGGGGGGACCCGTGTTGTAAAGAGATTTCTGAATATTGCTACAGCAGATGCACACATGAAGACGAGATTCCCCTAATGTGCATGTAACAGAGCCTATACGTTCCTGCATGACTGAGGGTTACAATCAACAATTGCATGCACCATCACTCACCTAGTGCCTGGCTTGTTGTGATCCGTCTAGTGGGGTCTTTCACCAGCATGGCTTGGAGCAGCTCTTTGGCGCCCTCAGACACATGCTTCCAGCGCGCAGATGTGAAGCGAGGGGCTTTGGTGCGGATGGCACTGTAAATGGCCTCATTTGAAGCGGCCCAAAAGGGGGGAAGTCCGGACAACAATGCATAGACTAGAACCCCTGTGCTCCAGACGTCAGCTGGAGGGCCCCAGATGCCGTCCAGAGTCTCTGGGGCGAGATAGAGGGGTGTGCCGTACAGCTTGCACGAGGCAGCATCTGAAACAAATGATTGAAAGAGGGGAATGCATTGAGTCAGGGTGGAAGGAGAAAGTATAACTGAAGAGCAGTTGATGCGAAGTCCATCAGCAAGTGCATAGACAGCATTTCCTTGTATCCAGGAATCTACATCCCAAATGCCCTTAAACAGCACAGAACATGACCAAAATGCTGACTGCAACCGTTAGCTAAGCTGCAAAACTCAAGCACACTTCACCCCTTAGCCATTGCTAGGTGACAGCAGCTTTTACTCCCCTTTCCCTTTACCCTTGCTTACCCACATTTCCCCCCTAAGAAATTTATGAAACGTAAAAACACCCTCCCCCCCCCCAACCAGCCCCCTCAAACTTCCCCCCCTCTCCCCCGATCCTCCTCCGCCCCTCCCCTTCCCTCTAAACCCCACTGACCAGGCTCAACGTCTGTGGAGATCCCAAAGTCAACCAGCTTGATCTGGCTGACGCTGCCCGGCATGAGCAGCAGCACGTTCTCGGGCTTCACATCGCGGTGCAGCACGCCGCACGTGTGGCAGTGGTGCAGCGCCTGCAGCAGCTGCCGGCACACTGGGGCTGCCATGGACTCGGGCAGGCGGCCGTACTGCCGCATGAAGTCAAAGAGATCGCCGCCCCGACACAACTCCATCACCAGGAAGATGCTCTGTGGGGAGGGGGGAGAGGGGTAGTTCGAGGGAGAAAAGGAAGAGAAAGGAAAGGGGGGGGGGGGGGGGGGGGGGGGGGGGTTGGGAGAGGGGGTGTGAAAAAAAAAGACGTTGCAGCTGACAAACACAAGGGCAGAAGCAGGAGAAGAGAGGGAGAGGGACGCTGGTAGCGGCTGGCAGGCACATGGTTAATGGCACATTGGTCTCCATTAATGGCGTGGCATAGCATCTCAACCCGTCGTCCTCACGTGCAGCATGCAGGCGAACTACATTGGGCGGCCCCAATATCACCTCCTCCTTGGCCACATGAGGGTGGACTCAACACATGGCATGACATGGCGCAACATGACCGGCACCACATTACCGGCACAACATGACCGGCACAACATGACCGGCACCACATGACCGGCACCACATGACCGGCACCACATGACCGGCACAACATGGCACGCCGCAGTATGGCACAGCATCTCTCACCTTATCATCTTCACATGCGGCATGCAGGCGCACCACATTGGGATGCCCTGACACCACCTCCATGGCCGCCACCTCCCGCCTCAGGTTGCGCGCCTCGTCGGTGGACTGCAGGTTGCCGGGGAGGGAAGGCGAGAGAATGGAGAGAAGGGAGGGCGAGAGCATGGGGGAAGGGAGGGCGAGAGCATGGGGGAAGGGAGGGCGAGAGCATGGGGGAAGGGAGGGCGAGAGCATGGGGGAAGGGAGGGCGAGAGCATGGGGGAAGGGAGGGCGAGAGCATGGGGGAAGGAGGGGCCGGGAAAGAGAGGAAGGGACTCCCGCATACCACCACCTCCACGGCCGCCACCTCTCGCCTCAGGTTGCGCGTCAGGGGACTGCAGGTTGCAGAGGAGGGAAGGAGAAGGGAGCGCGAGAGGATGGGAGGGGGGAAGTGGGGGGGGGGGGAGAGGGGGATGGATGTTATGGAGGGGAAAAAAGAGGATGGAGGGGAAGTGATAGAGGATAGAGGGGAAGTGATAGAGGATAGAGGGGAAGTGATAGCGGATAGAGGGGAAGTGATAGAGGATGGCGGGGAGGGAGGAGAGCGGATGGAGGGGAGGGAGGAGAGTGTTTGAAAAAGGAGCAATTGGCAAGCAGCGGGCGAAGAATGTGACAGGCGGCTGCAGGCAGACCGAATGGCAAACATGTCAACTCACCCGGCTGGCTGCTCCTCCAAACTAACCAGGCTGCCCCACCGGCTTGCTCTGCTGGACGCACCTGGATGCTGCGCTTGTCAATCATCTTGCAGGCAAGCGTCTCCCCACTCTCCCGTTCCACGCACACGCGCACCGCCCCAAACTCCCCCCGTGCCAGCACCTCCCCCTCCATCTCAAACCGCTCCTCCACGTCAGCATATGGGCGGCCCAGGATAAACGCCCTGAACACGTCAGCATCTGCAGGTGCTGAGTCAGCAGCGCTGGAAGTGGACCCTGATGCCATGTCAGCGTGTTCCACGCCCCCATACCTCCTCCCAACAGCACAAGCTCCTGTTGAGGCCACCCTGCCTTCGCCCCATGCCCCATCTCCCCCTGTCTCACGCCCCCCCTGTCAGCTGTACCTTCCCTAGAAACAGCCTTCCCAGGTGGCAGCCTCCCTGCCCCTATACCCTCTCCAAAGCCTCCCTGCAGTTCGCCTCGTCCCGCCCCTCTGATCCCCTGCTGCTGCCCCCCCTGCATCCGGCCCATGCTTCCGCCTCTCCCCTGCCCCCTCCCCTGCCCTGTGCCCCGCCCAATGCCCTGCCCTCGTGCCTGTCCCTCACTGCCGCTGCTACCGCTGCCACTGCTGCTGCTCTGCACAGGACGTACCCCCCCTCCCCCGCTGCCCATCCCACCACCAGACGGCCTTGTCCCAGAGCTCCTCTCCCCACCAGCCCCGCTCACCCTACGCCAACTCCCCTCCCGCCCTCCCCTCCTCCCCCTCCCCCTCCGCCTCCTCGTCCTCCTCGTCCTCATGCTGCACGCAGAGGCGATCGAACTCGCCCACGCCGCCGCGCCCAGTGGAAGCAGAGTGGGGGAACAGCGGCATGGGGAACGGCGCCATCCGATTCGCCCGAGCCAGGGGATTCACTGCCGCGTCCAGCCGCCCGCGGTCCGGCGTCGTCGGCCGCCCGCCAGATGGCGTAGTGGGACGGGCGCCGGGCGGTGTGGTTGGGCGGCCGCCCAGGGGCGTTGACGGGCGGTCGAGCAGGACCGTTTGATCGACCCCAGCTATCCTACCAGCGGGCGTTGAGGGCCGTTCGATCCCTGCAAATTCCCCTCCTGACGTTCCTCCTCCTGCCCCCCCCTCTCCCCCCATGGCCGCCCGCCTCCCCCCAGGAGTGAGTGGTCGGTCCATGGACCCATCAGCGCGCCTCACAGGAGTGGTGGGCCGCTGCACTGCCGCTGCGCCAACCCACGCTGCCCCTCCCCCTCCCCCTCCCCTCTCCACAAACGACTTGGGCCTGACTTTACCGCGGAAGCTGGACCGGTCCGCCCGGCTGCCGGGCTGCACTCGGCTCACTGCCGTGTGCGGGCGCCCTGCAGGCCCTGCCCGCTCTACGTCCACATCTAGGCGCTCTGCTGCCCCCAATCGCCCCCCTGCCACGCCCACGTCGTGCATGTGCGCGGGGGGGCTGCCTCCATCCCGTGGAGCGGAGTGGTCGGCCGCTCCAGCCGCTCCTGTGGCTCCTCCCCCCGCACCCCCCCTGCCGCCCCATCCTGCCGCCTCGTGGGCGTCTTCGGCCTCTCCAGAGCCCCCTCCCGTCGCCCTGCCGCCCCCTCCGCCCATGCCGCCGCCCCCCCTGCGTGCCCTCTTTCCCCGTCCTGCCGCCTCGTGGGCGTCCTTGGGCGCTCGAGCCCCGCCTCGGCGCGCAGCAGAGGCGTGGTGGGGCGCTGCCCAGCCAGCGGCGTGGACGGCCGCTCCAGCACCCGCGGGGTCAGCGGCTGCTGCAGTGGGCCGGCTGCTGCCACTCCCCCTCCTGCTGCTGCGGCGGCCGCTCTAGCCCTCTCCGCGTCGTGCATGTCCATGCGCGACGGCGTCTTGGGGCGGTCTAGCACCACACCCACGCCAACAGCGGCAGCAACGCCAGCAGCGCTGCTCGCAGCAGACATGTCTCGCCTCGGGGGCGTCGTGGGCCGCTCCCTCGGCGCTGCAAACCCGCCCACCCTTACCCCGCCCCCTACATCCCCTGCGCTCGGCCCTGCGCCATGCGCGCCTGCGCGGCCAAGCCGTGGGCTGTCTTCATCGGCTTCTCCCTGCATCGCCCCCCGCCCCACTCTCGTCCTCGGCCTCTCCGCTCCTACTGCTCCTACTCCTGCCACAACCCCATCACTATCACCCCCTCCGGCACCCCCACCACCCCCGGCGTCAGCACTGCCAGGGTGTCCCCGGCCCCGCAGCTTCAGCGCCGCCCTCTCAGCCACGGCGCGCGTGCTCGCGTTCGACGGCCCCTCCCCCGGCCGCACCTGCGGCGCGCTCGCGCTCTTCCTCAGGGCGCGAGACGCCACCGCGCCCGCCACAGTGCGCAGGCCGCCAGCGCCGCCGGGGGGAACGGCGGCTGTAGCACTGCTTGCGCCATCCGCAGCAGCAGCCACGGCGGCGGCGGAGGCAGCTGCGGTAATCCTGATCGGCGCGCCTGCTGCTCCCCTTCCCCCGCCAGCGAACCCCTCCGCCGCCAGCGGGGCTTTCCCCGACGTCATCGGGCGGGCGCGCGCTTGCCCTTGCGCTTGTTCCCCAGCTCTCCTCGCGGGGGGAAGACCTGGCGGGGGAGCTGCACCAGCGGAGGAACTGGAGGAAAGGGGGGAAGGGAGCGGAGGCGTGTGTGCGGAGGAGTGTCTGACTGAGTCTAGCTTCCGCACGGGCTGCGAGGCGGAACGCGCAAACTCGCGTCCCCCCGTGGCTGCTGCTCCGCCAGAAGGGCTGATCACTCCCGGCCTACCGCGCCCAGGCGGAAGCCGGCTTGGACTGGCGGAAGCAGAGCGCGAGGAAAGGGGGGAATGGGGGAGCGCGCGGGCGCCGGAAAGAGGGGATCCGCCGCCGTTTCCCGCATAATCGGGCCATGACGCGCCGCCGCTATCGGACCTAACGTCGTCTAAACTAAGCGAATCTCCACCGTCAGATCTGCTGTCCACGTCGGATGATCTGGCGGGGGGAGGGCGCCCGCGGGAAGTCGGGGCGCGCGCGGAAGTCTCCGCAGGAATCCCGCTGGAGGCGGAAACGCTCCGCGGAAATGCATGGCGTGCGGCGGAAACTCTCGACACCGCAGAGGCGACCGGCCCGCCGGCCGAACCCGACAAACCGGGGAACTCAAACCCGTCCGGCTCGTCACCGAGGCTCGATTCAGGTTCGGAATCCGAACCTAATCTCAGATTCTCGTGGCTTATCGAGCCTCGCAAGACGGAACCGCCTGTAGCAGGAGGACTTCGGGGCGGTACGGAAGGGTGCGAGGGAGTGAAGGGCTGCAGCCGTGCATGCGATTGGGCCCGTGGTGTCGTGCTGTGAGACGTGTCGGAACTCGATTGGCTATGCGGTCTCGCCTTCTCGGATTTCGACGTAGGAAACGGCCGCGATAGCGGGCGATCCGCGCCGCGATCGGGCCTGGGTGCGGACGGGGGATGGGCTCTAGGCGCGGTCTCCATTGGCGGTTACGCGATGATGACACGCGGCAAGTGCAGCATCCTGCAGGGATGGAAGGCGGAGAGTCCAGTCTGGTAGGCCTTGGGGATGGCGGGCCGATGGGAACATGGGATGTGAAGGAGACTGTACGCGTTGAAGATGGGGTGCCATGGCCACTTTGATGTGGCGATATCGGCGAATAAGCTATCATAAAAGGTGGTGACATATGGGGTGATCTAGGCACATAAATTTTATACGTTTACAAAACTGCATTGTCTAATGGTTGTATATGCATCATTCATAACAGAAATAGTTTGTTTTTGTATTGATCACCTTTGCGTGAGGAGTTGTGAAAATTTACTCGAATATATCTCCTAACGTTCCTTACAACTATCTAGCTCTACTTTACAAAATGTTTATTCTAGCGCATATATCCTTCCTCAACTCTCCTGCACTCGAGGCGTGTACTTAATACAAACAAATTACGGGGGTTCTGAGTGGAGAAAGTGAGTGGCTCTTAGATCATGACTCCCCACTTTACAACTTGGAGGGCATTACCTAGGATCTTTGACTTCTTGACTTCATACTAGCACTTAACGAAAGATTTTATTCTACGATACACGCCCTTGAACTGTCAATGCGGATTGCTTTTGCGCGACGTGTCCGCTCATACATCACAGGATTTGTTTTCCTCTACGTTTTATTGACTTCCACGATGGCAACAACGGACTCTCTAGAGCCTCGCGTAAACCGTCCGAATTCAACGCTGCACGAGCAGCGTTCTATGCGCGCTCAACGTGCTTTCCTCGTCAAGATTCACCCGCCATCCCACAAAACCGAGTTCCTTTGTGCGCGGAGAGTGTTACCGTTGCTCGTTCGTAGGCGGGACAATGATGGCTCAGCGTATCGCGCATACGTTGACCGGGTCGCTTGATGGCCGCGCACGCGTCGCGCTGTTATCAACAAGCAGCACGCCTGAATGCTGCTCAACGCGTTGCAACCAAGTTCTCGCTTCCTCTTCGCGAACCAGACACGTGGCGGCCACAGATTCGCGGACTCTCCGAAGCGCCTCACCTCCTCCTCTTCGACTTTCCGCTCCGCCGTGTTGCGCGCGGCTATCCGCCGTTGCGGCGCCGCGCGCACAGCCTGGCCCGGGGAACTCTCTCTGCGAACCCCCGCAATCCCGGCGCTTCGAGGCGGGGGTAGGAATCGGAGGTGCGAGTAGCGGACCACCACTGCGCACGACTAAAGAGCTTCCTCGTTCGCAGTCGCATTCGCATTCGTGTTCGCATTCCCCCGGGCATCGCTTGCGCTGCTCCGCCATTCCCCCGGACGCCGCAGATATCGCCGCAACCGCCGCCGCCGCTCTTGCCGGCCAGATTGGCCCCGCCGCTGATGCCGTTGGTGCGGCTGCGAGCCTAGGCGCGCCTGCTGCTGCTTCCGCGGCTGTGGGAGGAGGGAGGTCGGAGGTGACGTGGCAAGTTGTGGTTGGTGCGATTGGTACGTACAGTGCGCAGACTGATTCAGTTTAACACGTCTAAGGAGTCAAACAAATGTTTTTGAAATCGTCTCGTTGGGTCCAATGGCCACACAAGTGCTCCAATGGCTGTCGAAAGCGTCTCAACAGTTCCAACTCCAACGCCTCACCTCGCCATCTCATCTCCCCAACCACTGTGCCATTCCTCTGACCCCGCCCCCATGGACGAATCACCATGTGCCAGCTGGCGTTATCCCATTCATCGTGGCGTCCATTGAATTCGGCAAGCGCATTGTGAGTGCGGCTCCATCCCTGTTGTCCGCCTTCGTGGCTCAGTAGCCGCCAGTTATCGTCCACGGCCGATCATCCATCGCTCATCGTTCACTGCTCATCGGCTGCTGCTTATCGTTCCAAACGGTTTGTGCGTGGTGCTTGGTGCTTGGCGCTTTCCATCTCGCTCCTTCAGAGCTCGCCCCTCCTTTTGTTGCCCCTTCAACAAACTCCAAGGTTTTCTTTATCTCAACTAAGTAAAAGCCCGTGTTCAATTCCACACAGGCATTTGTGACCTGTTCATTTTGCGTCATGCGTGACTGCATCAACGCACCGCTCGCCTCTTTCCTCCCCCCGCCATTTGCCTCGCTCCCCGTCACAGCCTCCCTCGTCTTGCTGTACTAAGCCACGGCAAGCCTGCAGCCAGGGGCACATGAGCTGGTCCCCAGGGGCCAAGCGTCTCTCACGGCCCTCGCGGCCTTGCCCTCTTCTGCTCCCTCATCTCGCTTTTATCCCCTCTTCCTCCCGTTGCTCCCTCATCTCGCTTTTATCCCCTCCTCCCGTTGCTCCCTCCCGCCCTTCCTCCCCCTCTTCTCTCCCCTCTCTCCCCCACCCCATCCCATCCGCCCTCGTCCCCGCGCTGCCATCACGCCTCCCCCCAGGCGGCGCAGCAGCGCTGTGAGCAGTGCCAGGGCTCCGGGCTGCAGCTGGTGGGGCGCTACTACCGCCGCTGCTCGGCTTGCGGTGAGTGCTGGGTGCTGAAACAGCATGTGCGGCGAGTGTGAGTGAAGGACATGGCGTGTGATTCGAAGACGACCCATAACTCGTCTAATGCTGCGAGCAGCGCCACGGCTCGGGGCTGCAGCTGGTGGGGCGGTTTTACTGCCGCTGCCCTGCTTGCGGTGAGGTTTGTGAGCTGAGATCCGTGGTATTTCGGATTCCTGAGCTTTGTGAGCTGAGATGCAAGGCGCGGTGAGTGCGAGAGAGGGACAGCGTGTGCCGCTGCGAGCTGTGCCAGGGCTCAGGGCTGCAGAGAGTCTGGCCCCGCTGCCACCGCTGCCACCGCTGCTCCAAGGGTGGTGGTGAGTGTGAGCCTGTGAGGGCCATGGCATGTGGTGAGTGGGAAGGCCATGGCATGTGGTGAGTGGGAGGGCCATGGCATGTGGTGAGTGGGAGGGCCATGGCATGTGGTGAGTGGGAGGGCCATGGCATGTGGTGAGTGGGAGGGCCATGGCATGTGGTGAGTGGGAGGGCCATGGCATGTGGTGAGTGGGAGGGCCATGGCATGTGGTGAGTGGGAGGGCCATGGCATGTGGTGAGTGGGAGGGCCATGGCATGTGGTGAGTGGGAGGGCCATGGCATGTGGTGAGTGGGAGGGCCATGGCATGTGGTGAGTGGGAGGGCCATGGCATGTGGTGAGTGGGAGGGCCATGGCATGTGGTGAGTGGGAGGGCCATGGCATGTGGTGAGTGGGAGGGCCATGGCATGTGGTGAGTGGGAGGGCCATGGCATGTGGTGAGTGGGAGGGCCATGGCATGTGGTGAGTGGGAGGGCCATGGCATGTGGTGAGTGGGAGGGCCATGGCATGTGGTGAGTGGGAGGGCCATGGCATGTGGTGAGTGGGAGGGCCATGGCATGTGGTGAGTGGGAGGGCCATGGCATGTGGTGAGTGGGAGGGCCATGGCATGTGGTGAGTGGGAGGGCCATGGCATGTGGTGAGTGGGAGGGCCATGGCATGTGGTGAGTGGGAGGGCCATGGCATGTGGTGAGTGGGAGGGCCATGGCATGTGGTGAGTGGGAGGGCCATGGCATGTGGTGAGTGGGAGGGCCATGGCATGTGGTGAGTGGGAGGGCCATGGCATGTGGTGAGTGGGAGGGCCATGGCATGTGGTGAGTGGGAGGGCCATGGCATGTGGTGAGTGGGAGGCCATGGCATGTGGTGAGTGGGAGGGCCATGGCATGTGGTGAGTGGGAGGGCCATGGCATGTGGTGAGTGGGAGGGCCATGGCATGTGGTGAGTGGGAGGGCCATGGCATGTGGTGAGTGGGAGGGCCATGGCATGTGGTGAGTGGGAGGGCCATGGCATGTGGTGAGTGGGAGGGCCATGGCATGTGGTGAGTGGGAGGGCCATGGCATGTGGTGAGTGGGAGGGCCATGGCATGTGGTGAGTGGGAGGGCCATGGCATGTGGTGAGTGCTGGCGCAATCCTGAGACGCCTCAACGTCACCGACGCCACCACCTCCCCGCGTTGGGAGCACCAACAGGAGGCTCCGCCGAGGGAGTTTGTCTGCCCCTCACCCACTCTGTGTGTGTCTGGCTGGTAACTATTGCGCGTGTGTGCACGCCAGCATGGGCGCACTATATCATTGTTTGCCAGCAACACTGGTAGCTCATCACTTGACCTCCTTTTCCGTTCCTCGGTGCTGATGAGTCGTGCAGGTGGGTTCCTGCCCTGGCAATCCTGGCGCCGATTCTTCCTCGGATGAATGTCACGCTTGCAACTACTCATTGTGTTGGCCATTGGTGGTACTGGCGGTGTCTTTCAAGCCTGCTGAGCCCTTCGTACAGTTATGGGGAGCACGCTTGCTGCAGTTAGTTGGGTTGATATTGTTAAATTATATATGTTAGTATAGAATTGTAGGCTTGGTAGTGGTTACTGAACATTACTGTAGAGGGTACAACACCCCTCCTTGTATCCCTCTCTCTTCTTTCCTATTCTTTTCTCCCACCAACTTTCCTACCCTAAAACCTCACGCCATTTCCATGGCTCCTCCTACCTACGTAGATCCTAGTTTTAAGACATGGTAACAGAGCCGGTTCCCTTCCCGGGCCTGCTCCCCTTGTCAAACATGTGTAGTTATCATGTTTGTATAGACTGTATAGGGTCACCTTCTAGAGAGTACAACATTTAGGTATATGTTTGTGTACTCTCTCTCTCACATCATTCAATTCTAATTCTGATATGGTATCACGCGTAGGTAGGATCCCCCCCCACCTCCCGCTTCCGCTCATGCCCCCTAGCGCCCCTCCTGGGCCCCGTCGCGCTCCTCCCAGGCCCCCTAGCGCCCCTCCTGGGCCCCGTCGCGCTCCTCCCAGGCCCCGTAGCGCCCCGTCGCGCCCCTCCTGGCCCCGTAGCGCCCCTCCTGGGCCTCGTCGCGCCCCTCCTGGGCTTCGTAGCGCCCCTCCTGGGCCCTGTAACGCCCCTCCCAGGCCCCGTCGCGCTCCTCCCAGGCCCCCTAGCGCCCCTCCCAGGCCCCGTCACGCTCCTCCCAGGCCCCCTAGCGCTCCTCCTGGGCCCCGCCGCGCTCCACCCAGGCCCCGTCGCGCCCCTCCTGGGCTCCGTAGCGCCCCTACTGGGACCCGTCGCGCCCTCCCTGGGCCCTGTAGCGCCCCTCCTGGGCCCCGTCGTGCCCCTCCCAGGCCCCGTCGCGCCCCTCCTAGGCCCGTAGTGCCCCTCCTGGGCCGGTAGCGCCCCTCCTGGGCCCCCATTGCGCCCCTCCCTGGGCCCCGTATCCACCCTCCTGGGCCCCGTCGCGACCGTCCCTAGGCCCGTCGCGCCCCTTCCTGGGCCTCGTCGCGCCCCTCCTGGGCCCCCCCCCCCATTGCGCCCCTCCTGGGCCTCGCCGCGCCCCTCCTGGGCCCCCCCATTGCGCCCTCCTGGGCCCGTAGCGCCCCTCCTGGGCCTGTTGCGCCCCTCCTGGGCCCTGCCGCGCTCCTCCCTGGGCCCCGTATCCACCCTCCTGGGCCCCGTCGCCCCTGCTCGGCCCCGTCGCCCCTGCTCGGCCCCGTCGCCCCAGCTCGGCCCTGTCGCGGCCTCTCGGCCCCGTGGCGCCCGCCCGGCCCCTGTCGCAGCTGCCCGGCCCCTGTCGCACCTGCCCGGCCCCGTCACGCCCGCCCGGCCCCGTCGCCCCGCCCGGCCCTGCTGTGTCCTGCCCGGCCCCGTCGCTGCCGCCCGGCCTTGTCGCTGCCGCCCGGCCTCGTCGCTGCCGCCCGGCCTTGTTGCTGCCGCCCGGCCCCGTCGCAGCCGCCCGACCCCGTCGCAGCCGCCCGGCCCCGTCGCAGCCGCCCGGCCTCGTCGCTGCCGCCCGGCCCCGTCGCAGCCGCCCGGCCCCTCGTCGCGCCTGCCCGGCCCCGTCGCGCCTGCCCGGCCTCGACGTGCCTGCCCAGCCCCGTCGCGCCTGCCCGGCCCCGTCGCGCCTGCCCTGTCCCGTCGCGCCTGCCCCGGCCCTCCATACTTCCTGGTACTGTCCCCCGTTCCCCGCACCACTTTGCACCCTCCTGCACTTTCCTGCCCCGCCTTGCACCGCATTGCACCTCACTGAACCGCACTGGACCGCACTGCACCGCACTGCACCGCACTGCACCGCCCTGCACCGCACTGTACAGCACTACACCGCACTCCACTGTCCTCCTCTGCCCCTCATGGCTGCTGAGCTTCGTTTTGATGCTGAGGGTCAGCCTCTGGAGTTCGAGGCGTGGTTGGCTGACCTTCGCCGCCACCTCACTGGTCAGCGGCAGGACGGCCACCCGCTTTCTGCACACCTAGACGGTATGCTCCCCTGCCCTGGCCCCCCTGCTGTGCTGCCCGCTGATCCCACGCCCGCTGAGCGCGAGTCCACTGCCGCCGCTGCCCTTGCCCGCTCTGTCTGGCTTTCCCGCGATGCCCTTGCTCAGCTCGCCATTAGCAATGCCCTCCCCCCCTTGAGCGCCCTCGCTTTAGAACCATTTCTACCGCCCAGGCCTACCTCGATGCTGTCATCAAGCGCTATTCTACCCCTCCTGCTGCCTCAGTGGGTCGCCTGATCCTCCCCCTGCTCTTTCCTGACCTGGCGTCCTTCCCCACTGTCTCTGACCTCGCTGCCCACCTGCGCTCGATAGATGAGGCCTGGCGCGCTGCCTGCACTGATGCACAGCTTAGAGTCCACCAGCCTCCCATGACCTCTACCCTCTACCTCCTTGCCACCCGTCTCCCTGACCGCCTTGCCGCCGCCCGCGACCAGTTCCTTAGCATCCACCCTGCTGCTCTCACCCTCACCGACTTTGTTGACACCCTGACTGCCATAGAGACTCGTCACCGCTCCATAGCCCAGGCGAGCGGTACAGTACCGGTCCCTATCTTTCAGGGTTGTGCCCCCGCTCAGTGTACCTTCTCCGACGGCTCTGTCGCTGTGGCTGAGACTGCTGCTGCAGTGCAGTCCCGCTCGGGGAAGGGCCGCCGCCCCAAGGTTGGGAGCGGCGGAGGTGGCGGGGGTGCGGGTGGGGGTAGTGGTGGAGGCGGGTCGTCCGGTGCCGGTGCGGACGTGGGGACCCTGCCCGGTCCAGCTGCCCCGCTGCCTCCACCGTTGCAGCAGCCGCAGCAGCAGCAGCCTCCGCAGCAGCCGCAGCAGCCGCCGCAGACGAGGCCGGCGAGTGCTCTCCCGCCTGGGTGGCCTGGAGCTGGTGGTGGTCGTGCGCGTGGTGGTGCACCGGGTGGTGGTTCTGGAGGCGGGCCCTGTCAGTACCAGATCCAGACCGGTCCTCGCCGCGGCTTCGTTTGCGGTAAGATCGGTCATTCCACTCCTCGCTGTTTTCGTCGTCTGGACGACCTGTTCCGCCAGCGCTTTGGCCCGGCGCCCGACCTCCCGGACTGGCACAGCTTGCTTAGGCGTAGCATTCGGATTTTTGACTTGGACATGGATGCCATTGTAGCAGCCTTGCATGTGATGTATGCCGATGACTCTAGTGTGCTTCCCTCTTATTACCCCGTGTTGCCTAGTGTAGCTGTGCCTAACGTAGACTCCCCTGCTGCGTCAGGCGTAGGATCTCCTGCTTTGCTTAGCCTCGGTGCTTCCACCGCTTCACTGTCGCCCCACGCGACTGCTGCGCTTTCCTTCACCTTGGACTCTGGCGCCTCCCGGTGTTTCTTCCGCGACTCCACGACGCTGACGCCGCTGCCTGTTCCCGCTGCAGTTACTCTTGCTGACCCCTCCGGTGGTCCCGTCGTTGCCCGCAGTTCCACCTCCCTTCCCTGTCCGGCGGTTCCTTCAGGTTCGCTCACCGGTCTGCATATCCCCTCGTTCTCCAGGAACCTAGTTGGTGTCGGCTGCCTCCAGGACCTTGGCGTCACCACTACGTTCCCTGGTCACGAGCGGTATGCTGTCTGTACCGAGGCCGCCACTGGTGCCCCCCTTACCACTTTCCCCCGGGACCCGGTGTCCGGCCTGTTCACACTTGACACCGCGACGTCCCCGGCTGGGTCTTCCCCCCAGGTAGCTGCGTCCACCCAGGTTGCTGCTGCGTGCTCCTGTCGGTCCCTCACTCATCCGACTCTCCTTTGGCACCACCGCCTTGGTCACCCTGCACTCCCGCGTCTGCGTCACATGTCCCAGCACGGTCTCGTCCTTGGTCTCCCCGGTTCGTTCCCTGAGTTTCCCTCATCCCCCGCCCCACCGTGCACGCCTTGTGTCGAGGGCCGGCTCCGCCGTGCCCCTCACTCCTCCTCTTTTCCCCCTACCACCGCACCCCTGCAGACTCTGCACATGGACGTCTGGGGCCCAGCCCCGGTCCATGGGCCGCGTCGCGAGCGCTTCTTCCTAGTGCTTGTCGACGACTTCACACGTTACACCACCGTCTTTCCCCTGGAGCGGAAGGCCGACGTGCCTGACGTTCTCATCCCCTGGCTTGTCTCTGCTCGTCTCCACCGCGGTCTCCCTGCCTTGCGCCTCCACTCCGACCGGGGTGGCGAGTTCGCCTCAGGTGTCCTTGGTCGCTTCTGTCGTGCGGAGGGCATCACCCAGACGTTTACCCTGCCGGACTCCCCGCAGCAGAATGGGGTCGCTGAGCGACGCATCGGTTTGGTCATGGAGGTGGCTCGCACCTCCATGATCCACGCCGGTGCACCCCATTTTCTGTGGCCGTTCGCCGTGCGCTACGCCGCTCACCAGCTTAACCTGTGGCCGCACCCCCAGCGGCCGCAGGTTTCGCCGACCCTTCTGTGGACCGGGTCCCCTGGTGACGCGTCTGCGTTCCACGTCTGGGGCTGCCTTGCTCACGTTCGTGCCTCTGGCACGGACAAGCTCACTGCCCGCACCCTCCCCTGCGTCTTCCTCGGTTTCCCCCTTGACGCGTCCGACTGGCACTTCTACCACACGCCGTCTCACCGTTTCTTTCACTCTCGCGACGTCACCTTTGACGAGTCCGTCTCCTTCTACCGCCGCTTTCCCCACCGTGGTCCCCCGGTTACTCCCCCCCTGTTCCTGGTTCCTCCCTCCCTGGTGGCCCCTGTCCCTCCCCCCCCCCGCCCCCCCGTCCGGCCCCCTCTGGTGTGTCTCACGTCACCCCCCTCCCGTCGGTCGTTCCGGTCGACGAGTCTTCTGACTCTGGTAGTCCTTTGGCGCAGTCCTCGCCGTCTGTCCCTCCCCCGGTGTCTCCTCCTCCACCGCCTCCGCAGCCGCCGTCGCCGCAGCTGCTGCAGCCGTCGTCTCCGCCGCCGCCGCCGTCGAGGCCGTCGCTGCAGCCGCCGCCGCCGCCGCCGCCGTCGTCGCTGCCGCTGTTTGTGGACTCTGGGGGTGCTGGCGTTGAGGTGGGTACTAGTCCCGGGGCTCCTGTCGGGGCTTGTCCCGGCGGGCCTGGGGTGGTACCGGTGCTGGCGGTGTTTCGGGCTCTGGGGGTGTCCCTTCTGGGGGTGCCGGTGTGGAGGGTTCGGGAGGTAGCCGTCGCGCAGCTTGTGGCCCTGGCGTTGGTGTTGTGTCGCCGCAGCAGCAGTCCCCGCCGGTGTCCGCCCTCCGTCTGCTCGGCCTTC